CTGAATATGCTGGGCAAGAGTCCACAACCTGCAACTTGTCCATTGATGTGATCGGAGCTGTTACCCCGAAGGGGTCGAACGGACATGAGTATATCCTGGTAGCGATAGATTATTTCACAAAGTGGGTCGAGGCCCAATCATACGCGGTGTTGAAGGCGTCGCACGTCGCAAAGTTCATTAGAAACAACATCATTTGTCGCTACGGGGTGCCAAACGAGATTATTTCGGATAATGGATCCCACTTTAAGAAAGAAGTGGTCGACTTGTTGGAAAAGTATAACGTGGCTTTTCATAAGTCATCTACATACCGGCCGCAGACCAACGGAGCGGTTGAGGCCGCCAACAAGAACATCAAGGACATACTGCGGAAAATGGTGGAGACCTATCGAGATTGGCCAGATAAGTTGCCGTTTGCTCTGTGGGGCTACAGAACTTCGATTAGAACTTCTACCGGAGCGACTTCGTATTCGTTAGTTTATGGAATGGAGGCTGTTGTACCTATTGAAATTGAAGTTCCGTCTTTACGGGTATTGGCTGAGTGTCAGATAGCTGAGGCAGATTGGCAGCAGAGCAGGTTTGAGGAACTCATGCTCTTTGATGAGAGAAGGCTGAAAGCACTGTACCACGTCAAGAGTTATCAACGCAGAATTGCACGGGCTTTTAACAAGAAGGTTAAGTCCAGAAATCTAAAGGAAGGGGATTTGGTGCTCAAAGGCAACCGAGCTCCCATCCACGACCCGAGGGGCAAGTTCAGACCCAATTGGACTGGTCCCTACATCATCAAAGCTATCTGGTAAGGTGGAGCTGTGGTTCTGATGGACTTAGATGGCTTGGAATTCTCCCAACCGATCAGCATGGACAAGTTGAAGAAATACTACCCTTGAGTGGCTCGCTAGGCCGAAAACCCGAAAGGGCGACCTAGGCAAAAGTCAGAGCACAAAAAATTAGAAAATATAAAAACTGAGCTCGCAAGGCTGAAAACCCTCAAAGGGCGGCCTTGACAAAAGTTAGAGCGCAAAAGGAGAGTGAAAATACTCGAGCGAACCTAAGCCGGAACTACGTAAGGCTTGATTCCCATGTTTGGGATACGTAGGCAGCTTCATCCCGAAGTTCAGCCATAACACTTCCCCGATCAACTTTGTCCATTTGATCATCTCAGTCATCTTTGTCTATCAGGATTCGTTGGAATCCCCAGTACAGCGCTGCTTAGACTAGGGGCAACTTTCTGTTGCTGTGCAGTGCTGCGGCACTCTTCAGACTAGGGGCAACTTTCCAGTTGCGGGGATCTGGGGTTGTGCATCTCAGTGACAAATCTCAGGCGTGTCCAGTTCTCATCCACATCAAAAATGTTTTTGAGAAGTTTTAATAAAGTTGATTTCGTTCAAATAATCTTTTACAACTTTGACCATTTTTGGACCAAACACGGAAAATTTTCAGTACCAACAACCTTCAATTTCATTGATTTCAAAAAACAGAGTTCTCCTGCTCTTGCATACAATCGAAGTTGCTTTTTATTACATTCATAAAGAAAACTTGAAAGTACTAATAAAGCAATAAATCTGGGGCATAGTCAAGTCAGGTGTTCCTGCGCCCCCTCCCAGAGCTGGTCGAAGCCTCTGATGCCAAGCTGGGCCCAATCTGTGCTTCTTCGTTGAGCCAATCCACGCACTCGTCAGACAAAGTGCAACTGAAAGTAAGAGCGGGGGCCAGGAGTTCTCTCATCCTCCACGCGGTGGCCTGCCAAGCAAGCTGTGCGCCTCGGGCTGGGAATGCAGCAGGATACTCTATCCCCTCTGGCGGGCAGGTCTGATCATGGCCAAATTGGCGTCGAATCCGAAATGGGAAATAGAATACACAGTGAGTGAGACCAACCAATTGAA